TCAGCTAGCGAGCACGCAGAACGCAGCAACAAGCATACCCCCAGTGACGCGCCACCGGACCCCCTGCGGCGCACGCACCGCACCGCACCATCGCTGGTCTCGCTTCCTCGCGACAAGACAAGCCAGAGCCGGCGTCCGCGCGCGCGACAGGCTAGCAAGACACGGGGCGCCGCACCACACAAAACCTCCCCGTTCTCCCGCTTGACCGCACATCCGCTTCCTGCCCGTGAGGCGTGCACGAGCGGCGCGACGGCGGAGGGGTCTATGGGGAGGTGGTGGTTAGTGTGAGAAACGCAGACAGGCGGAAAAAGCAGGAGCCGGGGGTGAGGGAGAAGAGGTGATGTGGAGGAAAGCGCGGCACGAGGAGGGGTACGGGGAAGATGCAGAAATAAGAAAAGAGACGGGGGGAAGGGGGGAAGCGAGGACGGTGCGGACGGAATATGGAAGGCGGGGGAGTGGGGGGCGGGGGAGGGTGGAGGAATGGATGGGACGAGATGGAATGAGATGGTGGAGGCGGGACATGGAGGAAGCGGGGTGGACGCGGAGGAGGGCGGTCGAGGCGCGCTGACGGAGGAGATTGGTGGTCGCGCGGAGAACGCAGGATGGAGAGTACGTGTGCGGGCGGGATGGAGTGGGGGTCGGGGAGGAAGGGAGGGAGAACGCGCGCGTCTTGTAGCAGGGGGGGAGGAAAGTAAATAACCGGGAGCAGCAATGCGATGCGTGGAAGAGGCTGTGGGATATAGCGGGGAGTCGAAGGGGAGGAGGGAGGGAAAAGGCAAGGAGATGCGCGCGCAGAGAGGTTGGGCGGACCGACTAGATGGTAAGGGGAGGGAACGCCGAAAATCAAAAAAAAGTGGGGTGTGCGACATGGAGAGCGCGAAGCATAGGAGGTCGCGGCATAGCAAGCCGCAAAGCAGCGCGTTCCTCTCAAAGCGGGAGCACAAGCAGCCCCGCATCCCGCCCCGCAAAAAACGCAATCCACAAATAAAAATAAAGTCGATGCACCTTATGCAAAGCTACCGCTGCCTTTGCGGGGATGACGACGCCCTCGATGGTGTGGAGCGACAGCGAGGGCAGGCACAAGCGGCCCATGAAGACTTGTGCCTAAGGGAGGGTCAGCGAGGGAGCATGCCAGGACGGAGAAACCCCCGCCTTGTTGTTGTCTGAGAGCATTATCTTGCCGCCCGCGGCAGTCTCGACGTCGGCGATGTAGTCGAGCTTCTCGCAGAGTGCGCTGGGGATAATGGCAATAAGTACGTGGTATGTATGTATATTAAAAAGAGGAGGAACGCACCGCTCCTCCACGTCTGCGATGTTGAATAAGGCGTCCCGAGGACGAGGATGCGACGAGACTCTTCTTACTCGTGTCCTGCGCAGAATCGCGGGCGACAAAGAGAGGGTCTGACCGTCAGAGAAGGTCTTGACGCCGAGCTCGACGAGGCGCATGGACGGAGCTGCGCTTCGAGCCAGTGCGCCATCTCTCTCGGAAGGGGCGGGGTCAAATGTCACACCGTGACACTTCGAGCTTGATTTGAACACAAATTTAAAAGAATAAGTGTCTCCAAATAATTCGCATACACGTATATAAAAATTCTGTGGGTCGGATCTAACTGTTTGAAACTTTGAATTCGAAGGTCTCGCCCAAAAAAAAATTGGAGGGAAACCCTTTATGGCCTAGGCTCGAGTCGAACGAGCGTAAGATACAACTTGGCAAATTGAAAATGTTGCAGACGCGGACCATCCGCCACTGGGCCTACATTTCGATACCTAGAAACTCAGCTGGGTTGGTTCAAATTCAACGAGTCGAACAAATAAATAAAACACTGGCGGTTGTGTGGCCAGGTGACGAGCTCTGCTTAGACTCGTCATTACAATGGAAGTCTTGCAGACGCGGAAACATCCGCCACTGGGCATATATATATTATTATACCCATGAAGTCGGTTCAATTAACAAGCGGAATAAGAAGAATTCCACCATGGGTAACAGGCTCGCGAACGAGCTTGAATTTCGCGGACGATCCGCGACTGGGCCTATATTTCTATATCAAGGAACTCGCCGGTTGGGTTGAATGGCAGTTCCAAATGAAAAAAAAAAAAAAAAACGCTTCCGCCAAGACATGGCTCAGGCTCGATTCGAACGAGCTTACTTTTCTTCTCGTTTACAAAGTTGAGCAGATGCGGAACCATCCGCCACTGGGCTTTGTTCTCCTCCCTTGAAACCTAAAGAGATGGGGTAAATTTCAACAAGTTTATGTAAAGAAAATGGTGCTGAAAACGGTTCAGAACGGTCCAGGCTCGAGTCGAACGAGCTACTTCTGCTTAGAGCCTTGGGTTGCATGTGATAACTTTTTACAGATGCGGAGCCATCCGCCACTGGACCTTTTTCTCCAACCTAGCAACCCTGCTAAACAGAGTTGCAATTACCATGTTGAATAAAAAAATGCCGCGCCGGCAGGTACATAGTCGAACGAGCATGTTCTGCTTACGTAGACGAACGGAACAATGTTTCGCAGACGTGGAATTCCGCGACTGGGCCTATATATATCTATACCAGGGAACTCGGTTGAGTTGGTTGAATGTCAGTTCCAAATGAAAAAAAAAGTCTCCCAACAAGACATGGCTCAGACTCGATTCGAACGAGCTTACTTTTCTTTATGTAATCCACTCATTTACAAAGTTGAGCAGATGCGGAACCATCCGCTACTGGGCTTTGGTCTCCTCACTTGAAACCTAAAGAGATGGGGCAAATTTCAACAAGTTTATGTAAAGAAAATGGCACTGAAACCCAACGGACCAGGCTCGAGTCGAACGAGCTTACTTTGCTTAATCGCCAAAGCACCCATTGCAAGTATCGCAGAGGTGGACTATCCGCCACTGGGCCTATCTTCTGTACCAGATACTCCGTGTAGTTGATTGAATTAGCAAGTTGAAAAAAAAAACAACGAGGGAAGACGGGCCAAGGTCCAGGCCCGAGGCGAACTAGCGTCTTCCGCATAGTACCTCGATACAGACTTTGAACAAGTCCAGCAGACGCGGAACCATCCGCCACTGAGCCTATTTCTATACCCAGATACTCCGTGTAGTTGATTGAATTAGCGAGGTGAAAAGATATTAACTGGGAAGACGGGCAACATGATCCAGGCTCGAGTCGAACTAGCGTCTTCTGCATAGTACTTCGGTACAAACTTTGAACAAGTTCAGCAGACGCGGAACCATTCGCCACTGAGCCTTTCTTCCCTCCTTTGAAAACTAAAGAGATGGGGTAATTTTCAGTGAGTTGAATAAAATAATATCCAGATTCTAAACCAACGCTACAGGTTCGAGTCGAAGGACCATATTCTGCCTCTGCGCCTTTTTAAATTATTGGAGACGACGAAGCCATCCGCCACTGGGCCTCCTTCTCTCGGCAATACACTCTGCTAAATAGAGTTGCAATTATCGTGTTGAATAAAAAAGTAGGTTGAGACATAAGGCCGAGGCTGGATTTGAACGACCGTATTCAGCTTACACGAAGAAATCTCTGAAGAATGGCAGACGCGGAACCTTCCGCCACTAGGCCTTTATGTCCTCCTTTGAAACCTTAATAAATGGGTGAATTTCGATGAATTGAATAAAGATCACTGAAGATTCAGAATGGCCTAGGCTAGAGTCAAACGAGCACTTCTGCGTACGCCTATATTTCCCACAAGTTATCCAGACGCGGAACCATCCGCCACTGGGCCTCTTCCCTCCTGCCTACTAGTAGCCTAAAGCCATTAATATTTGGCTTGGTTGATTTGAACTTTGAGCTGAATAAATAAAAAACTGGTTGCGAAAGCACTATCACTGCGTTGAAGCCCTTCGTAGTCACAGGGTATGGCTACGGGGGTAGACAAGGGGGTAGACATGAGCATATGTGTACCTGGGAATAACGGTGTAAACACAGTTGTTGCCGCATGGTCTACCCCTACCCAAACTGTGTCTACTCGGGGGTACCTTGGTAGACCCAGGGTTTGCCTAGGGTAGACCCAGGTACACCAAGTTGAAGAACTGTTTGGGAGCTCCAATTTATATTGATAGGCTTGTAGCGGTATTTTCCAAGTAAGTCTTTGTGCAATGATTCTCAATGTCAATTCTGATGTGGCCATGATTACCAAAGTTATAGCATGTTTGGGCTCTCTGATGCGGCACAAGCCGGACGTGGCACTGGCGGCGCGCCATTTCAGACCTTTTCAGACACGCTCTCATACTGTCATACGAGCTTATCATAATTAAGGTTATATGGTATGTCGCGGTGGGTCCACATTGGGCTACCTGACGTAGCCCAATGTAGTCACACTGTGACAGCATGTGACTACCTCCTGTGTACCAGGCTACCCAAGCGTAGCCAAACACATATGTCGATCCCCTCATCTACCAGGGGTAGGCCATGGGTAGACCAATGTGACCCAATGTGAACCAATGTAGCCAGCCTCTGACTACAAATGGCCTCAACGCAGTGTATGGCCCAAACTCGAATGAGCGTCTTCTGCTTAGACTTTTCCCCGCCTTTCAAGTTTTCAGATGCGGAACTATCCGCTACTGAGCCCTTCCTTTCCTCCCTATAAACTCCGTTGAGTTGGTTTTTGAACGGCGAGTTGGAAAAAAAAATGCGAAATATAAAACCAACTCGATTGACGAGCGTCTTCTATTGATGATCTTGTCTCACAGGCGAGCCTTACTAATTCGCAGACGCGGACTTCCGCCACTGGGAATTTTCTATCCACCCTAACAATTCTGATAACCAGAGTTGAATTTAACGAGTTGAATAAACAAACACACTGGTGGACGCAGAGCTATGATAGCCCAGGCTTGAGTCAAATTTATAGTGAGGCTGGAGTCGAACGAGCCTCACCATCTGCTTACTTTGAAAAAAAAGTCCACATAAGAATAGTAAACGCGTAACCTGGACATTTTTTATCTTTCCCAGGAAGTGGTTGAATTTCAATGAGCTGAACCAAAAAAAAAATCCACGTGACACACGGCCCAGGCTCGATTCGAACGAGCATATTCTGCTTACATTCCCGCCTTGCTAAGAATTGCAGACGCGGAACCACCCACTACTGGACCTTTCCCATGCTCCGTTGGAACCTACCACAATGGCTGATTTCTGGGGAGGAAAAAAATGAGTTCGGAGAAATGACTGAAAAGCCCAGGCTTGATTCGAATGAGCTTTCTCAGCCTACACCCAAATAGTGGTCACGGAAATTTAGCAGATGCGGACCATCTGCCACTGGGCCTATATCCTGATGATGCCCAGGAACTCAGTTGGGTTGGTTGAACTTACAGCAGTCCGCATAAAGGAGGGCAGTAGCCATTGTAAACCAGTTGAATTAAAAAGAATTGTCCCGTTGGAGATGAAAGGCCGAGGTCCGATTCCAACGAGAACCATCCGGCCACCTTTACAACAGAGTATCACAGGAATAGCGGACGCATACCATACACTACTGGGCTTTTTCTTTCCTCCTTTGAAACTTAGTAGGGGTGATTTTCAGGCTCGAATCGAACGAGCTACTTCTGCGTAGACCGGGAGCTCCTCCTGAAGTTATGCAGACACGAAACCTTCCGCCACTGGGCCTTTTCCCTCCTCCCTTGAAACCTCAATATACGAGGTGATTTTCAGCGGGTTTAATTTTTTCAAAAGGAACGACACTGCAATATGGCCCAGGCTCGAGTCAAACGAGCCACCTACTAAGGATAGTTTTTATCACTACCGGTGACATTGGGCAGACGCGGGCCATCCGCTACTGGCCTTGATCTCTTCCCCAGTAAATCACCTGGATTGGTTTAATTTTGAATTGTGAGCTGAATTGAAAACAATCAATGCAAGGAATGAGGATGCAAGGCCTAGGCTCGAGTATAACGAGCTACTGCTACGTACATTGACGATAGGCGGTAGCTTTTTTCAAAAGTTTAGCAGACGCGGACCATCCGCCACTGGCCCTTTCCACTCTCCTTTGATACCTAACTGGATGGTGATTTTCTATGAGGTGAATAAAGAGCTGGACCGTGATGATAATGCATTGCCAGGCTCAATTATTCGAACGAGCGTTCCCTGCTTGTTTCCCCTTCCTTGAAACCTAAATATATGGGGTGAATTCCAACGAGTTGAAGGAAAAGATCTTTCGACCAGAAAAGCCCAGGCTGGATTCGAGCAAGCTTACTCTGCTCCCTACTTCTACAATATGCAGATACGGACAGTTCCAGATGCGGAACCGTCCGCTACCAGGCTGTTTCCCTCCTACCTTAAAAACCTAAATACATGGGGTCGGATTTCGACGAGTTGAATGAAAAGTAAAGGACAAGAAAGCCATGGCCCAGGTTCGATTCAAACGAGCTACTTCTACTTGTAACTCATTGTTTCAATGGACAACGTTTGCGGATGCGGACCATCCGCCACTAGGCCTTATATTTCTTTACCTTGAAACTCAGCTGGATTGGTTTCATTTTAACCTAATACATGAATACATTTACTCCTCATCATTGCCCTATGGCCTAGGCTCGAGCCGAACGAGCATCTTCTGCTTACATCCAAACAACTTGAAAGTTTAGCAGATGCGGACCTCCCGCCACTGGGCATTTGTCTCTCTACCTACTAACTCTGCTAACCGGAGGTAAAATTAAGCCAGTTGAGAGTTGAATAAAAATTCCATTGGGCACAAATTATTACCCCAAGCCCGATTCGGACTAGCTACTTCTGCGTTACCGGTGGTGATCGATATTTACCAGGCCTTTCTCTCTCCCAACGTTTTAAACTCTAGATGAATTCGGAACGAGTTGCATAATAAATATTCTGAAGGACAAAATATGGCCCAGGCTCGATCCGAACGAGCTTCTTCTGTTTAGATATCATCACCATAGTATTCAATACATGTAGACGCGGAGGGCCATACGGCACTGGGCCTACATCTTCGAGCCCAGAAGCTCAGTGATGACGAGATGAATAATAAAGCATTCTTCTTTCCAAGGGCTTTTGTAATTTATTATGGTGATTACATGTCAACGAGCTGAAGAAAAAATGTTCCGAAGTGAGAGGTAGCTTCGCATAGCGCCACATCGGACCTGCGTCGGCATTGCACACATTGGACTTGCATCGAACATCGCAGCACCGCGTCGCATCGCTGTGTACCCGTAGCTGCACAGCAGCTCCCCTGCGAGAGAATGAACGGCCGCAATCCTACGGCGGGAACGCGCGAAAGACACCGAATTGTGCGTAAAAAAACCCACGCCAGCCCACTCGCCCCCACGCCCGCCCCCCAAAAGAAAAAGAAAAAGAAAAGTGAGAAAGAACAGAAGAGAACCACTCACTCACGAAGCACTCATGTTCCTAGGGGGGTGGTGAGTATGGGATAGGGTGAGTGAGGACGCCCGGGATGGGGACGGAGAGGGAGCGGAGGGGGCCTGGGTGGGCGACGCGCAGAAAGGATGGGGGGGAGGAGGACGGAGGACGTAGACTCCTAAGGCGCGCTGACGGAGGTGGCGCGGAGAACGCAGAATTGAGAGAACGGAGGTGGGCGGAGATGGAAATGGGGGAGGGGAAGAAGCGGCTGCTTAGGATAGGAGAAGGGAGGAGTGAGGCGAAGGAGAGCGGGGCGTGTGACTAGGAGGATTAGGAGATGTAGGCACAGAGGATCGGGAGGGAGGCGGTAGCACAGAGCAGTAGGGCGGATGATCGGGCGGACCGATTCTGTGGGAAGGGGGAGGAATAACGAAGGAAAGCGGGTGAGCGAATGGACAAGGCGCTACGACGCAGCTAAATACAGCGAGATGACGGTCTTGGCGTTGGGGCTGGAGTTGGGGCGAGGACTTGTTGGACTTATGCGGGTATGGAGTTAGCTGGGGATGCAGAAAGGGGTGCGCAGAAGCGTGGAGCGAGAGAGCGAAGGATGGAGGACGACAAAATGGAGACCTCGACGTGACCTCGACGTCGGCGCGGGTGTACTCCAGCGTTTCGTACAGTGCGCTGGGGGTATATCATCAGAGTAACAGAAAGAAAAAGGACACGAATGCAAGACGAGCTTCCCGCCAATGCGCTCGCCGTACACCAGCACCGTTGGTCCGCCATGATGCGCCGAGGGTCTCGGTTTCAAGGCTAGCAAGGACACAGCTGCGCGTAGTCTCGGTGACTGTGGGCCATGGTGACGGCCAGGCACGCAATGAAGCTTCGATGAAGGTCGGCACAGAAAGAGAGTTGGATGGGAAGGCATGGTAGCGGATCAGAAATCAGAGTTCCGGATCCGGGATTGGGCGATGTTTCACACAACCGTACATACAAATAAATTCAGAGCGTCAGATGTACAATTTATATTCTAGGTACCCCTACTTGGGGTTGTGGGCCGTGGAATTTCCCGGCAAAAACTCGTACTTGATTTTAAGGAAATGAGAAATGAGGGATTTATTCAAGATTTATTCGTCTCCTACAGCGGGAAGGATAATGGTGAAATAATTTACTTACGGTGTCGAAGAACTGCGTGTCAAGAGCGTGCCAACCTTCGTCTCCAACAGCGTGCATAGGCTGGCGTGCGCAGCCGGCAGCGGTATGGTGCCGATCTTCCAGGGGGGTATGAGAGAAGAGTAATAAATCATGTGTAGGTTGTTTTGGATAATCACTGCATTCCAAGGCCCCCTAGACTCAGCTGAGTCTAGGTGTTCTAGACATACCTACACACAGATCTGTGCCTAGGTAACTAGACAGAGTCTGTGTAGGTCTGTTTAGGCTCTTTGTAGCTCTGTCTAGGTCAGACTCAGTCTGCCGAACTTAGTTTGGGTCAGTCTAGGTCAGTATAGTACCTAGACAGACTCACCATCTACTTGTTGCGTCAAAATAAGTTGCTAAACATCCTCCCACAATGTATAGAAGTATTTTGAGTCATCGGAAGTAGCACATAAACTCGAATCTGGAAGCAAAATCTAATCACAAATTTAAAATGAATGATTAATGGTATCGTCCATCCGGCTTCCGTCCGACTTAAATGGAGTTACACCGATGTTTCCACACCTGTTCAAATTCAATACAGACGAGTTCTTATTGGCTATATAACATTAGCAACTCCCTTGCCGCCTAGCAGACACTTGCGTCATGAGTCATGGACTAGTTGTGGAAACACCCAGTACATGTACTGGGCAGGTGGAAGAGGAGGAACGAAGGAGGAACCATGTGCTTGAGCCCAAAGGAGGACCTAAATGAACTCCAAGCGACAAGCCGCAAGCGAATGTTGTGGCTGGCGTTGTTGTGGCATCTTTGTGCGATGCGCCGACGGCAGGATCAACGTTGATGCGCTGATGATCAACGGAACCCCCTATAAGGATTTTGGAGCGAAAGGCATAAAAGTATGTCTGTTTTGCTCTGACTAGGCACCTACACTCACCCAAACTAACCTAGACTGACTTACACTTGGCTAGACAGAGACACCCGAACACACCTACACAGAGGCTACACAGAGTTGGAGACTCCTAGGCAAAATATCCGTCTAGGACCCTACACAGGGTCTGCCTAGGGACCAAACACACCTAGACTGACCCTAGACAAAGTTAGGCTCACTGAGTCTAGGGGGCCTTGGAATGCAGTGAATACTCAGGATAATTTATTCTCCGCTAGGTCCCCTTTCGGAACATGCAGAGTTGTAGTGTTCAGAGCATCGGCCTAATGCCCTACCCACTACGCTACAGCCCACCTATCTTCGACGAGCTCGCCCCTTTTAAGGCTGTAGATCTAAATGTGTAAGCTGCAGCTATAAACTGACTGTTCCTCCGAATACTGTAAACTACTGGTACTTTCCTTGGAGCGGACAGATGATTCCCGGAATCAGCAAGGTACTCACAATACCTACCCTCTGTATTTGAGTTTCAAGACACATTGCAAGCTTTCTGGCTGGCCTTCATTGGTGTGGGCTGATATCGCTGTTGTCTGCGCCCGTGCGATGTTCTACACCACAGCGTTCATGCAGATAAACAATTATATATTGCCAGATTCTCTGTGCCCGTGCGATGTATTCTACACCACATCATTCACTAGAATATTCCGATATGGCTTGGGCGTTGCAATTTCCCCGTGACCATTTGGCGTACTA